CCTGCTGAAGAGCCCTGAATGTTAGTAAGGATTTCTAGAGTTTACCATGTGGCAGGAGTGTTTCATGAGCATTTCTGTGGTTACAGAATAGTTTCCACTACTGTGGAAAATTTTTGAAAAGCAAGAAATATATGTTTTCCAGAAATAAACAATGTGTTTTGAATGTCTTGCAGTAAGTCACTACATGGTTCTCCTGAAATAATTGCAGGATTAGAACGTACTGGCATAAATTATATCCTTTAATTTTTTTTAATATCTTCACTTTGTGTGAGGTGGGTTTTTCCTAATCTTTTCATTTAAATTCTCATGGAATTAATTACTTGTGGGCCCAGCGCTGGATGATGCTGACCACCTAAGCATGCCTCCAATTCAAAACCCATGAAATAGGCTGTGGAAGTGAAATATATTTAAGTGCTTTGCTGGGTTGAAGTGTTCAGCTCAGTAAAGGGTCAGTAAAGATCACAAGAACAGACCTGTGACTTCTGCTAATGGAAACTTAAGATTGTATCAGTTTGTTTATTCATTTAAATAATGTTTATCCTTTTCCTGATTTTAAGAAGCTCTATCTAAGTAAGCATTTGATTTTTCTCTTAATTGCACTGCAGAAAGCTATGGAATAGATGAAGGTAACAGGAGACCCTTTACCCATCCCTGTGTGCTTGCAGTTTGGAATGATGTGGAATTTTTAAGTTTACTATTCACTTTCCTTTAATAAACATAATTTATTTACAGTTAAACCAGTTAGCTTTGGGATTTTAAAGAGGAAAATGCAGTACTTAAAAAGGAAATTAAAAAGCCATTGATCACTTTGTTATCCAGCTCTAGATGGTGTTATTTCTGTAGTGTTAATTAAGTCAAAACCATCCATCATGAAAATCCTAAGCTGATTGGTTATATTTTTTTCCCTGAATAATACAAGGAGAGGTGAAAACATATACATGCTTTTCTGCTATTCCTTAAATATTTTTCCATGTCTGCGAGAAATAAAATTGCAAATGAATTAATTTCAATTGCAATTAATTAAATGTTTTGCTGAAGTACTGAGCCTTTTTTTCAGTAATATTCTCAGCCTTTTAAACCACAACGTTAACAAAATTGCCTAAGTCCACAAAACAGCAATTTTGCTTCAATTACACACTGAGAGAGGTGTAGTGCACTCAAAATTTCATTTCATTTTATTTGCCATGCTCTTGTTTCTGTATTTTTTTCTCTTGCAGTTACCTCTTTAAAAATTCTCTAGGCTCGTTTGATGGTTCCAAGATCTAAAACACCACAGAGTGGAGTTCTCTTAAACATCTGTGTGCTAAGGCTGGATTTCATAGCATTGCTATTGCCCTGGGCTGTTGGTGTTCTTTGCCTTCAGTAGCTATAATTAAGAAGGATTCAGTTTATGTCTATTGCACTGAAATAAACAAGGCACAGCAGTTAATTTAGCAAATTAGATTTCACAATTCCTTTTCCATTACTTTGTTTTAAACACTTGTTTAAGAGGTTTCCACTGTGTGTTGACAGCATTTGTATAGGTTGGTGTGCAGCAAATGTTAATCTTAGTTATTCATACGTGAGGTGTTTGAGTGACTTACTTGGAGTTTTTGTATCTTGTGGCTTATTTCTTTGCCCTTCATCAGAAATGTAATATTTTAAGTCCATTATATTCTTATAGCCAGAGATTATGAGATTCAAAGGGAAAGGATTGAGCTGGGGCGCTGCATCGGTGAAGGACAGTTTGGAGATGTACATCAAGGAGTTTACATGAGCCCGGTAAGCCTCACATCTGAAATAATCATAAACAAACTGTGAAACCTTTCTAGTGACAAAATCAAATGTAGATGTCTTGGTCTGAGTCTTGCAGAAAAAAATAAGAATTGACTTTGTGGTTTATTTTTCAGAATGATCATCACATAGAGAATATTTCCCATGTTACAGATAACTATAAAACTAGCTCCAGGGTAGTTTCTCTGCTTCTTTATCCCCATTCTTATAGATTGGGAAAGGAATCAAAAGAGCCAACCATTCAGGACCATACCAAAGCCACTGGCTGAACTGGAATTAGAAGTTACTGCTTTTAAACTCCAACTATACACTTTTTTTCATCATTTTGAGTGTGTCCATGTATCGTGAGCACAGGTCCCTTTGGCCATACTCTCCTATGGAGTGTTCAGTGCTTCAGAACCTTTTCCAAAGTTGAAAATTGTGTTTATGGGTATTCAGTCTGACTTGGGTTTAGGTTCAGCATGCAGTGCTGAGCTGCCACCACTTCCTGGATGAGCTAATCTCACTTCTGTGCTGAAATACAGAGAAGGTATTTTAGTCAGTGACACTGGCTGGGCAGGACCTTGCAGCAGGGGGACAGGGATATAAACAAATGTGTCTGTTTCTGCAGTGAGCATCTCACTATATCTCTCAAAAAGAAGCTTGTCTATTCATAAAGTTACTGCTTTTTCCTGAAAGAAAAGATAAAAAATACTTGGGCACTGATCCAGCAAAACCCCAATGCACAAGAGTCACCTCAGTGAAACCAGTAAGGTTGGCAGAACTTGGGTAATTTAGCCTTTGCTTATGTGTTTTTCTAGTCTGCAGCCATTAAGATTGCAGTTTAAGGGGATGGAAAATGAAAATTGTGGGGAAAAGCAAGAGAAAGCTGAAAAATTATTTAATTTCAATCTGTTTCAAGGTTATAATAACTAATTCTGCAAGTGTAAAATGAAGATTTATTTCCTATTTGAGTAAATTAAATGGCTGGATTTTTGATATATGAAGTAATAATTCATGTGGACAACAACCTAGTTCTAACTCCAGAAACAATTATTTCCCAGAAAAAGCTGGTGAGTGTCCTGGGATTGGTGGAGTCAATAAATCTTTAGTGCAATATTAAAGTAAATAAATAAGGGTAAATGTTAAATATTTCATGCAGGTTTGAAGTTCTGTTGCCTTCATTTTAGAAAAGCTGTTGTGATATAATTTGTGTTAAGGGAGATGCTGCTTTTTCATTTATTCCTGTCCAAGTTAACAGGAGTACTTGAGGAATAATGTTTCACTGGACTTGAGTCACAGTGGAGAAACCTAGTGCTCTGTAAAAGCAATTAAAGGCCCATTTTCTTAGGAGTGTTGTTTTGAAAATGCCATCTATCTCTGTTCTTTTCTCAAATTTGAAAACAAATTTTATTCAGTTGTCCTGTGTCTAGTATGAACTTTTTGTATGGCAACCTGCTGGTTACTCTTAGTAATAAAATTTTAATACATTTAAGGCACTTGAGTGTGTGAAGGGAACACAAAGGTATTAACATTAATATACTAGTCACAGAGTGTAACTTAAAATTTTGGAAAAGATCTTAAAATAGGTAAAAGCTGAGTTAAAATAGCAGGAGAGTATTCAGCTCACATGCAAAAATACCAGGGAGATTTCAGACGTCTTGTTCTGCTGGCTCAGATTTCAAGCAGAAGAATCTCATTTGTGCCTCTTCAGTGCACTTGCAAAGTTTTACTTCCAGTGCAGCTTCCACTTCTTTTCCAGAACGCAGCTTATTACTAGTTTCTCCTGAAATATGAGAACCAACCTGTGTTTGTAGGATACTGAGTGGAAAATGTAGGTATAAGCATAGGACCCTAGTGCTCAGATGTCAGCAATCCAAATAATACTGCCTTGATTTACTGTGGGATTAATCCAAAAGAGTAATTTAAATATTGGCTGCTCAGTACACAAACTTTTGCCAGTCTGATACATCCTCACTCTTTTGTCATTTTCTTTAAAACCATAAGATCAGCAAACCCCTGGTATCAGGCTTTTTCCCATATTTATTTTGCAAAATGTCTGGAGTCTTTCTTTGCTGGTTGCAGACACTGAAACTCTTCCTTTGGATGCTGATGATGCTTATGACATGTTTCAAAACCTTTATCTGTAACACCTGGAGAGGGAGTGGTCTGCCAGGCCTCCAGAAGCCTCATCCAATATTGGTTATTGAATCCTGGTTTTAGAAAGGAATAAAATAATCTCAAGTTACTAGCAGTTTTCAGTCAGTTTATGGGTACGTTTATATATGAGAAAAGGTTTTAATCAGTATTTTCATGCAGAGTCCACTTAAAGAACTATATTGTGAGTAACACAGAAAATAGAAATTTAATTCTGCAAAATGGAAATACTATTCTAATTCTGATCATGTTTGCCTGTAAAGAAGACTTAAAATAGAGCAAGCATGAGGCGACATAGAACATAACTCTGTGAATCTTCATCTCTCACTGGCCTTAAAAACTGGGTGAGGACGAACATCAACCCAGTAGCCTTTCAGGGGAAAGTTAGTTTGTAATGTTCCCATTAAACAACGCACAATTCCCAGTTGCCCAGTTGGAAGGAAGGCATCCTAGTCCTTGAGCAGGCCTAGACCCAATGTAGAAGCTTCACTTTAAAACGCTTGCTTTCAACCCATTAAGAACTTTATCCAACATTTTCCAAGCGCTGTGTGTTACTCTGGGAACACACTGTGGGGTAAAAGTAGTATTTTCTAAGTCCTGGTGTTTTGAATACTAGGAAAGCTAGACTGGACAAATCTGGTCAACTCTGTTTCTGCTTTGAATACATGTGTTCTGTTTAAATCAGTTTGAAGCCCTTGATAGATAACTGATTGTGAAGCTAATATGTAAAATCTCTCTTTTACTTGCCTTTTTAACTGAGTTCAAAATTGTAGCCAGTCTTTGCTCTGCAAAAGCCACAAAAAGTACTTTATTTGGCTTTTCTGTGGTTTTTAGGAGTGTATCTACTTCTTCCCTCTGCTTTTGCTAAATATTGTCAGGTTTTACCATCCTCAATAATGCAAAGTTTACAGTACTATTCAGTTCAAGTTACTAGCTTCTGTTGTAATTTTTGTATGAGTTAACGGAGTTTAAAGCAGATTAAATACTTCCCAAGTGCATTAGAGGTAAGTGTTGTACACTAAATGTCTTGATTATAATAATGGTTTAACATGAAGCTTTCAAAATGCAATTTCTTAACTAAAGGTATTTTAGTTAATAGTCGTTTTCTCTAAAGCAGTTTTGCTAGGATTTAAAAGGATTTAGTTTGTGGTGGGCTGTATTTCAATTATTTCTCAATAATGTCTTTCAGGAAAATCCAGCCATGGCTGTTGCAATCAAAACGTGTAAAAACTGCACCTCAGACAGTGTTAGAGAAAAATTCTTACAAGAAGCCTGTGAGTATTAAAATACTTCTTTTTGGGGCAGCTTCTGTAACTTGTCCTTGCAAAACTTTCAGCCATCTGTGCCAGAAACTTCTGATACTGATGTAAATCTTTTATTGATATACAGCATGACCTTTTCCTCTCCTGCAATATGTGCCAGGAAGACTGCCTTACATCCTTGCATTGCCTGTGTATGGTTATATGTGGTTCTTTGATTTTCTAAATTGAACAGTGATTCTGACTCTTGTAAGGCTTCAGAACCAGTTTTGGAATATTAGAGATCTGATCCTCTATTGCATTCTTAATGAACTAAGAAAAGCCCATAGCACTTGTTTCAGGTTTGTTACTACAGAAGGTCAGGTGGTTGTCTTTGTTAACAAAGTTAGTAAAAATATTGTGTCTGATAAGAGAGATTTGTTTTGAAAATTCAGAATTAAAAATCGTGATAGAAAAAAAATCCCAATTTTCTAAATAACTGCCCACAAATACTGTACTCCCCAAAGGGCACATTTCATACATGGAAGAAGGCTCTTCCTTGAGATGAATACTGACAGAAAACTCCTGTCAGAATTCTGTAATTACTTACTTCTCTGCTATTTGATTTTGTAAGCAAATAAGATATGAGACTTGGACCTTAATTTTTGCCTATTATTCTTTACTTTTGTATATCCAAAAACCTCATCAAGGTATTGTATTAATAATTTTTTTTTATGACCAGATGCTACAGAATTCTTGTATTCACTATTCCTTTGTTCAAGGATTTTTCTCTAATTGTTCAGAAAAATCTGTGTTCATAGCTAATGGCTTCCCATTTTTGGATGTCTTCAATTACTATAATTTTTTCCATTACATTTCTAGCTGTTGCAAAAGTAAATACCATTGCTTCTAGTAATAACTTAGCAGTCAAAGGTAGGCTGCTGTCTCTTAACAATGTGGAAAATAATTGCTCATTGAATGCTCCTTATTATGCTTTGAGCTTGACAGATTAGGAAATGCCAAAGTAGTAGACAGATAAATAATGCTTTTCAATTTTGATTTAATAGTTTTGCCAGTTCTTCTTTTTTTTTTTCATTCTAATCCCCATCTGCTACCTTTCTCCTGTTTGTGTTCAGATTGCAAACTCTCAGCAGATGCTGCCTCCTAGTTTTTAAGAGCACTAATCAAAAAGCCCAAATCCATCATCCACAGAGGCAGAGTTGCTTATTGCACTGAATTTGAAGAAATTCCTTTCCTAATATATTATTTTAATATTAGGAATATAAAATTTTTGTTATATATTTTTTTAGTTGTTTGCTTGTCATGGAGTTTTCAAGGCTGAAAAGATGTAGTATTGATTCTTGCAAGGAGGAACACATTTCAGTAAGAGAAGTAGATTTTAAAAAGTGTTTTTCCAAGCAGCACCTGTCTCTTCATTCCTGGCTGCTTTTGTGTGTCTCTGAGTGCCTAACAATGCATTTGTATGTGGTGAAATACAGACCATTTGGTTTGGGGAGATTTTTCTGGATTTTCCACTGGCTTTGGTAAATTGCTTCTTTTTGTGAGTAGTTCATTCCTCCTATCTGTAGAAGCTGGATGCAGTAATTCCACTACCTGTCTGAACTTGTGAGTTGGTCAGTGAACACTGACTTAATTGATTGAATTAATTTCTGGGAAGTACTTTTCAACAATAGAGTATTTTATGTGTAAAACTGGTAAGGTCATGTGATACAAAGCTGTTTGTGTTAATTGCCTTCCCATTGCTTTGATAATTAAAACTGTATACCTGCTTTATTTTTACATCAATGAAGCAACATTTCCACATTATAAAACATGGTAAATTGCATTGAGTTGCATTAGCACAAGAGAACTCTAAAGCTATAATTAATGGGTTGGGTTTTGTTTAATATACACTTTATTTACCAAGATTTAATACTAATATTGGGTTCAGACTAGTATAGCTATGCTTAATTGGTGTCAGAAATAGCTTCCCTCTCTAAACTTCCATTTACCTTCAGAAAGGAAGAGGGGAATTGAATTATTTAGAAACCTAGCTTCAATTCCATGTAGTATTTTATCAGTTGCTATTGCCCATTTGACATTTCACCACTTAATTTAGTCCTTTTTATTAATGCATTAAGCTATGTCATTGATAGGGATGTTTGTTTCACTGATTTATTTCTGTATTATTCATAGCACATGAATATTTTAAACACTCTGTTATTTTAAGTTTGCCCCTATAAGTTTCTTTGCAGGAAAATACATGATTGAAATATTGATGACAATGGGTCTGGTGAACAGCATTGTCCAAGGATTTTTCTTGGGGTTTGTGGTGTTGCAAGATGTGTTGGTTATAGATGGCTGCTGTGTACCCGTGTGCAGAAGTAGAATTCAGAGCTCATCAGAACAGGACTCTGAAAACACCTACTGATTTTAGCTGGTGGTTAATGAAAAGCCAAAAGGTAGTGGGATTTTGGGCAAACTGAAGCAGACTTTCCAGTTTGGTAATTACCATGTACTTCTGTTGGCACTGAAAAGTGTAAATGTCCAGGAGGGACTACTTTAAGATGAAATTAAGGAAATTTGTCAAGATTGGACTGAGGATGTTTGTCATACATATGTTGAAAGAGAAAACCTTAGTCAGAGGACTAGTGTTTTGTTTAATCTACCAAGTCCACCTCCCCAAAACATTGATCAGCATTGAGTCGGTTCCCCAGGGCAGCAGTTCCTGTGCTGGCACAATCTTCAGTGCAGCTCCCCAGCCTGGTGTCCAGCGGGGTTTCTGAACTGAGGCAATGCCAGAACCACCAGGTGCTGGCTGATGAGGCTTGGGCAGGACCAGGAGCAACCTTGGCCAACCCTCACATCTGTAAAAGGCAGCCCCCAGGGAGCACTAGCAACCAGTTCCAGCAAGTGGGGCATGGCAGTTTGCATGGAAGGGAGAGCAGCCTCTGGAAAATGGGCTGGCTTTTTCAGGGAGCCAGTTGGAGACACCCTCATGTTGAAACAAAATGGTTTCCACCCTCTGCAACTGCAGAGCTGTGACTGGAACTCAGGTGAAGTGATAAAACCTCCCAGGGTGAACACCTACACTCAGACTGACTTGCCAAGACCTAATAAGCTGCATGGACCCAACGTTGCCTGGAGCTCCAGAAACTGCAAGTCCCCCATGGGTCTAAAGGCAGAGGTGGATGTCATGGGTGTAATGTGCCCAGCTGGAGGAGCCCTTCCAGCAAGTGGCTGCGTTGCAGGAGTTTAGCAGGCAGTGCAGTGATCCTGCCATCTGAGTGAAAGATCTCTGTGTGGTGCTGTGCAGTGCCACCAGCTAAGGGACAGCCTTCAGACTTTGCAAGGGTGAGCTTGCTTCCAGCCCTGAGGCCACAGACTGAACAGACAAAGGAGACTGGACTCTAATCTCTGCTCAGGGCAGGGAGGAGTAACCTTCCCATTCCCCTTGAAGTGCCCCTACTTAACAGGTTTGGTGCCCTAGGGCTGCAGAATGAAGAGAGTAACAGGCAAGACCTGGGAAAAGTCCAGCCATGCAGTGTTGGTCACCCACCCACCTGAGGACTAATGACACCAGGAAAGTGTGGAGGGTGTTGGTGATTGTGAACTCCTTGGTGAGAGGCACCAAAGCCCCCACTTGCCACCCAGACAGTGTCTCTAGAGAAGGTTTCTGCCTGCTGGGAGCTTGAATCCATGATGTCACGGAGAGACTGTGGAGCCTGGTAAAGCCTATGGACCATCCCCTCTTCCTGCTGTTCCAAGTATGACTGAATGATGCTGCAGCAAGTCAGCTCAGAAATACCAAAGGACACTTTATGTCCCTTGGAATTATGGTAAAGGGATCAGGAGCACAGGTGGTGTTCTCTATCCTGCCAGTCAGAGAAGGGAGTTGGAGAAAATGGAGACAAATGCATAGCTGGTGCACAAGGTCTCGGTTTCCTGTCATCTTGGTCATACCTTTAAGAAACTGTGCCTGTTGACAGGGCTCAGATGGCCTTCACAATAAGTTGGCTGGACTTGGAGCTTTCAATTAGATTTAGCAGGGGAAGGGGATGGTGTTCTAAATACTTGGGAAGAGCCAGGGGCTGCTGAGGCATTAGGCAGCAGCAGGGAAACACCTGTGAATTGCTTCCAGGGAGTTTGGGTGAGCTCCTCTAAAAAGGGACTGTGGCCAAGAGCCTGGCTGAAGTGCCTCTATACCAACATACATGGAATGTGAAGCAAACAGGAGAAGCTGGTAGCTGCTGCCCAGATGGAGAACAATGACCTGATTGCTCTCTTACAGAAACTTGGTGGGATGAAATGGGCAGCTGGAGTGCTGACAGCTTTAAACTATTCCAAATGGGCAGGCAAGGAGGGAGAAGTGAGAGTGCTGTGCCCAGGGTTGGATTGACTGCACAGAGCTCTCTTTGAAGAGCAGCCATGTGCAGGTCAAGAGCTTAGGGGTAAGCTGAAGATCAAATCAAGTGGTTCATCTCTGCTGCAGAGCACCAGATCTGGAAGTGGTTGATGTAGAGTTCTTCCTTCAACTGCAGGAAGCATTGTGCTCTTAGGCCCTGATCCTTACAGGGGACTTCAACCACCCAGATGGACAAGTGCTGGAAAAGAGCCAGAACAGACTGCAAGGCAGTCCAGGGAGCTACTGGAGTACACTGGGGACAGCTTCCTAGTGCAGGTCATGGAGAGCCTGACCAGAGGAGAGGCACTGCTGGCTCTGGGGCATTGGAACTCTTATAGAAACATAGATCCATAAGTTCTCTTCCAACCCAAACCATTCTATTACTTGGATGTCTTACTGAATAAAAATACACAGTGACTACACTGCTGGGACTGAAAAGTTAATTTAAGTTCATGGAAAATAAAATAAGTTGTGAACATAATGATGAAATGGAATTTTTTTTTGTCTGTCATAAACTGACACACATTTTTCCCAGACATTGACGTTCCCATATTGTTTTCTCCCTCCTGTTCCAATAGAAAGACACATGTTAATTGGTCATGCACTGAATTGGTAGGTCATGTTATTAATTTCTATTAATACTCACCCAGGGCAGAAGAGCCAGAGAACTTGACTTGATTCCACCTTCCACAGCAGTTTACTAAAGTGAGCAGGGTTTCATACTACTCATAGAACATGAAATGACCAGACATTATTGCTTGCAAGCAGTTGTTTCAAGTCCTGCAGAACTGTGATTATATTTTTAGGCCATAGACTAAATGCTTCTTAACTGACATTTTTATTTTAAAAGAAGGTTTGATGTAACACACCGATTTGTTGCTTTTCCTTTCAGTAACAATGCGTCAGTTTGATCATCCTCATATTGTGAAGCTCATTGGAGTTATTACAGAAAACCCAGTTTGGATAATCATGGAGCTCTGTACACTTGGAGAGGTATGAAAAATCCTCATGTTATCTTGCATCTTCTCTCTCTTACCTCACAGTTACCTTTACAAGAGACTGAAACAAATCACTTCTCAGCACTCAAGCAAAGGCACTCTCCTCAGACATGATATCATACTTGTTTGTAGAATTATGGACTCTGGAACAGGAGTGGCAGAATGTGACCTAACTCCTCCACTGAGGGAACTGCATCAGCTCATACCAAAGTGATTCAGTCATAATTTTCAGAGAATTCAATTGCTGTTCCAGAGTGAGAGCTTGACCTGTGTCAAGATGATGATGATAATGATAATGCAGTATCATTTTAACTGCATTTGCAAACATACCTCCTACAAGTAAAAATAGATGCTACATCCTTTACTCTTTCTGAGTAATACTGATTTCCCTTGGAACACTGCATTTTTTAGGTGTTTTTTTTTCCTGTGCAGTCTCTAAAGCACAGACCCTGGGTAAGATCACTTTCCTCATTATTTTGTCTTTTGGATGGCTGGTTTAAACAAAACTAGATCTCAGTTTGTTTTTAGCTATCTGTTTCTGAAAATGTGAGCTGAAGTGATAGTTCATGCTGCATTGTAAGATAGTAATTATAATAATCAAACTGCAGTATGTTGTATGAGAAAAACAAAGGCAGAATGACCTGTAGTGCAGAAGTAGTTTTCTAGTTCCCAAATCACTTTTCAAAGCCCTGTTTTAATTTTATAAGGAATCTCTAGGGCTACCTTTCTTTAGGTCCTAACTGCTTTATACTAGGAATACAGCTTATAAAAAAATTGCATTGATATTTGCTGCTCTGAGCTAAATCCAGTTGTTCTGGCAGATATAGATTAAAATTAAGGTTTCCAAAACACTACTGATGTAATTGGTGTTCAAATTGGCCATGTACTCTTGTTCTGGAATTACTTAGGCAAAAAATGTGTGTAGTTCTCAAGGGAAAAATACATTAGAAGTTCAGGAGACCTTTCCTCTGGAACAGCAGCAGTGTGTGCTCTGTCTTCAAAACCAGCCTGAGAGCAATGCACAAATGACCATTTTCTGTTGGGTTGAAAGTTTTCATGTAGGAAAAACTGCTTGAATTTAACCCAAAGTCAGATTTCTTCATGGCAAGTGATTTTCTTTTATCAGTCAGTCTTAAGGGAAAGCATGCCTGTTGATTCTTGTGTAAACTTTATATTTGAGGTATGCTTTCTTCAGGTTTGGTATTTTTTTGTCCTAACTTCCTTTTTTTCCTTTTGAAACAGTTGAGATCATTTTTGCAAGTAAGAAAATACAGCTTGGATCTGGCCTCTCTGATACTCTATGCTTACCAGCTGAGCACAGCACTTGCTTACTTAGAGAGCAAAAGATTTGTACATAGGTAAGATTTTATACATATATATGTGGGGTTTTGTATGTAACTACTTGGAATTTTGGGAACATGAGGTATCCTAGCTTAGCAGGGTTTTGACTGGCAGTATTTTGGCTGTTACACACTTGCTCAAGTGAAGACAAAGCAATTACAACACACAGTTGGATTCTTCCAAGCCCTTCTTTTGTGTTTCCTTTCCTTGACTCGTGATAAATGTGAAGAAGCAATATTTGGAAACTCCTCAGATTGTGTCCTTGTTTTCAAACGCTGCCATCAAAATTACACCCTTTTCAAGAGTGACCTCTGCTGGTTCCCTCCTGGATTGACTCGGAGACGGTGCCCGATTTTAATCACAACAGAGTTCAGTTGTTGCTTTGTGGTTGCAGTATTTTTTAAAGCTGTAATCTTGCAAATACAGCAAAGCAAAACAAAGGGCAGCCAGCTTCTAAGTGAAGAATAGGGAAAACAAAATATTTATACAGTACAAGTACTTGCTTAACCAGAAAATGAAGCTAAATTTCCTTCTAGATGTGTTTTGAATTTGATCCCCTTGACTTTGAACATGAGCTTTCTCCAGAGAAGAGACTGGCTGTAGCCTCTTGCTGTATGCAATTAAAAGTTTACAGCACTCCTAGTATCCTGTATAATTTAATTTTGAACCTGGGACTTTAATTTGTTTTAATACTTAGGTTCAAATTCTGTATATGTGTTGTATACATTGTACATGCAATCACATTAGGTGTGTATATATACATAGATATGAATATAAAAATGTTATAAATAGTAGGCCTTTATGGTGATTAGAGATACTTGAATTGTGACCAGGTAGCTGTTAATTTTAGCTCTAGCAAAAAAATTTCCAAATGGAACTTACTCATCCAGCACTGAAATGGGAGAAGGTGGCACTGCTCAGTTTGCTGCACTTTCTTCGCTTCTCAGAAGCTAAATCTGTCAACATCAGTCAAGCCTACTGAAATCCAAAAGAAACAGACATAAGGTGGGTTGTCTCACCTGGGAAACTACAAGGAAAAAAAAGTCTTTCCATAATCTTGGTGACATTACTAAAAACTGACCTCCTCATTTGCAACAGCCTCTTACAAGACTAGAGATCCTAAATCAATTCCTAACCTTCGGACTGGAGGCAGATTTTCTTCTTTCCATCAGTTCTCATGGCCAAAACTTGTTAGCCTGTGATATTTAAATAGACAAAAGAATAAAACTTTTCCCTCTGATGTTGACATATGACAGTTTGGACATTTTGGACAACAGCTACTCAAGAGGATCAAACATACTGCAGGATTTCTGCAGCCTTCTCAGACTCAGCAGACAAAACACTTTGTTGTCTTTTTCTGTACATGCACACCCAAAGCATGGCTTAGAGAAATCATTCAGTCCTCCTAAAGGTGTTTGATACTTCTGGGTTTTAATGGTGTTTGTCAAATTACACGTCACCACTTTCAGTTTGTAAATGACTGGAGAGAATGTCTCCTCTGTTTGGCAGGGATATTGCTGCTAGAAATGTGCTGGTATCTGCCACTGACTGTGTGAAATTGGGCGACTTTGGCTTGTCCCGATACATGGAAGACAGTACTTACTATAAAGGTAAGGCAACACTCTGCATCCTTCCTGCAGGCCAGTTAGGACACCATTGCTTCTCACAGTACTGAGGTGGTTGTCAGAGTTCACCAGATTTTCTTGGTCTAGCTGTGTAACAATGCACACTGTTCCACAATGAAGTGGGTGGCAGTAAATTCATAGAATCACAGAATCACAGGGGTTGGAAGGGACCTCTGGAGATCACCGAGTCCAACTCCCCTGTTGAAGCAGGAACACCCAGGGCAGATCACACAGAGATGTGTCAAGATGGGTCTTGAAAGTCTCCAGAGAAGGAGACTCCATGTCACAGTTTGACTCAGGTCCGACAACAATGCTCTCGATCCCCTCCCCCTCCCACCCAGGTAGGGAAGGAGAGAGAGAAAAAGAGAGAGACTTGGCTGGATTGAAAACTAAACTACACAGCTTTAATTAAAACACTAATAAATGATGCAAGAAAAGTATATACAATTATATACAGATAAATTCAGGTATGAGCAAAAGCCTCTCGCCTCCCCCCACCCCAGCAACTCCCACAGCACTTCCCTGAGCTGGGAAGAGTCCCGAGGAATCCCGGAGCTGCTGCTGGCGCAAGCAGAGAGTTATGGGGGTCAGGAGATCTCGAGCCTAAGGGCTGACGGTGATGGATGAACAGAGTCCTCCC